CCCCGCCGCCGGCTTCCCCCGAGGCTTTCAAAGCCGCGGAGGGGCTCCGGCGGCGGGGCATCCGGCGTACAAGACGACCCCCGATTTTTGGGGGATGTTTTTTAACATCAGAGGTCGTCTTGTACGCCGGAATATACGGTAACTGGTTAGATAACCATTCTCAGAGAGTAGTTATCAATAAATCAGTCATACTGGAAGGGTATAACGAGGGACGTTCCACAGGGATCAATTTGGGGCAGGTTCTATTCAGTATTATTCTTCTCTTAATAGGACAAGAAGCAATAGGCTTAACTAGCAGCAAGGAAGCTAAGGTTGGACATTAGGAAAAACTTCCTAATTGACAGAGTGATTAATTTCTGGAATAAATTACCTAGGAAAGTTGTGCAATCTCCATCTTTGGAGATTTTTAAGAGTAGGTTAGACAAATAACTGTCAGGGATAGTCTAGATGGCGCTTGGTCCTGCCATGAGTGCAGGAGACTGGATTTGATGACCTCTTGAGGATCCTTCCAATTCTTTTATTCTGTGATTCTGAAGTGCATTTATGTTTGAGAAGTCTGTGTGCAGTGCCTACCCTTCTTCTTACCCCACCTTTCCAGCCCCCCGCTTTCAGCCTCAGTTCCAGCAGGGTGCATACTACACAGATCCTTACGCTGTCAAATTTGGACAAATGATCCTTCAACCCCTGTCAAATAGACTTCAGGTTCACCTCCAGTTGGGACTTCTGTGAATCACCAATAGTGCCATGAATGTGGACACGGTACTTGAGCTGAGGCCTCCCTGGTGTCAAGTAGAACAGGACAATTACCTTCTATGTCTGTCTTAGAATATTAGCCTTTTTTATAACCATCACGTAGTTGGCTCATTCAATTTGTGATAATGCCCAGATCCTTTTCACATTGTGTAGCCATACATTTGATTTTTCTTTAAATGAAGTATTTTGCACTTATTTTTATTGTTTCATTTAGCTATTTAAGATAAATTATCCAATTTGTCAAAGTTGTTGAAATTCTAATCATGCCTTCCAAAAGCTTGCAACTCCTACCAACTTAGGGTCATCTGTACATTTTCTAAGCATACATGCTACTCCGTTATCCGAGTCATTCATGAAAATATTGAAATGATTCTGAAACCAAGATCAACCCTGTAGAACCTCACTCAATGCTCCTTCCCAGTTAGACAGCAGATCATTGATAATTGCTCTACATTTGGTATTTCTACCTGTTGTGAAGCCACTTTATAGTGATTTTGTATAGATTGCATTTTGCTAGTTTATTTAGGAACTGTATCCAAAGCCTCACTAAAAGTCAATTTTTTTCCCTCCCATCCCTCAATCCAGCAAGCCAATAACCCAGTGAAAGAAGGAAATTAGGTTGATTTGATGTGATCTGTTTGAGAAATCAAAGTTGGTAATTCCTTATTAATCTAGGTGCTTACAAATAATGTACTCTATTAACTGTATGATCAGCCATAGACATTTTTATCCCTCCCGTCCCTCAATTCAGCAGTCCAATAACCCAGTGAAAGAAGGAAATAACTCACTAGAAGAATAAACTGGGATCGGTGTTGTCTCCCATTTGTATAGGAATGAGAGAATGCAAGGGAGTGTATGATTTATAGGTGTTCTGTGTAGTAGGAAACTTCTCATGCAGTACCCTGTGTCTGTTAGCTGAAGAAGCAGGAAATATTGTTTATCTAACCAAATTAGGATCAGTTGAGGGTAAAGATAAACACTAATGTGGTCATTGAGAACCTTTACAGCTTAAGTGGATTTAAGATTTGCTAAGGAGCACTATAAAAGGTGGCCACTTTTTAGGGTAACTTTGCCAAATACATGTACTTTATTAATACACTAGCTTGTAACGAGTATTTGTGCCATTTTTTTGCTTTCAAACTGTACAAATCTGGTAAAACATAAGTAAATCCTGTGATGTCAAGCCTTACAGGACTAGATTTATGTTGAAAAAAGTGGCTTAAAACAAAAATATCAAAGGGTATGTAAATCCGTAAACAAACAAAAACACAAAAAAGGAAGGCAAGACAAAATGGTTTTATGGCAAGATTCAAGAAGTCATTCAATCCACAGGAAATGTCTGTCAGAAAATTGAGATCCACCTTTCTTGTGAAGCCAATAAAAGGAACATAAACTACTATGGCATGTAAAATGATTAAAGGTTAAAAATGAAGAAAGCTGGAAGGGACTAAGAAGAACAAATATTAAGACATAAAAACAATACAAAATGCATTAAACAGATATTAAAAGCAGGAAACTCCTGAGGAAAAAAGTTTGACCTACTCAACTTCCATAATAGACAGGCAATTAAAAAGACGAAGTTGCAATGAAGCTAAATTATTTTTTTGTATCTGGCTTCACAATGCATATTCGGTGCTTTCATTTTAAGAAATAAAGATGAGACACTGCCAGACATTGAAATATCAAGAGTTGGTGCTTGAACAGGTAGATAACGAGGAAGGAACAAACTAGTAATAACATGATTGTTTAGTTGCAAGAATTCTGAAAGAACCTGAAAATGAAGTGGCTGAGCTTCTAACAAAAATATGCAGTCTCTCCTGGGACTCTGATACTTTCATACTGGATCAGACCAGCAGCACATCTGGTCCAGTGACCTGTAACTAGAACCAGATGTTTCAGAGTATGATGCCAAGAACTCTGTTTTGGGCACTTACGGAGCCCAGAGGGGAAAGTTTCATCCCACTTTGGCTATTGTTTGAAATTTCAACTGCGAAGTTTAACTTTGAATATTCTCAATAAGCATAGAGAAGTGTAATGCTTACTAAGATCTTGGCCTTCATGATTAAAAATTTGCTATTGTACAAAAGGTGTAGAGGGTAGTAAAATCTACTTTCAAAAGAATATTAAAGAATGAGAGAGAGAAAATGAACAGGAAAAAGGCAGATGTTTCAGAACATGATGTAAAAGAATATGGAAGCTAGGTGTTTACCTGCCAATCTGTCCTACAGGGGGTCTTACAAAAACAAAATTTATGAACTATTGGTTGAAATATTAAATATATTGTAAGGTGTTAAGAGGAGGGTAATTGACTAATTGCTTACTTGATACAAATTGTATCAGTACACAATTAGCCAATAAGGAGCCTCACTGCGACTCTGCAGTTTAAATGTAATAGGAGCTGGATATGAAGGCAGCTCAGCTTCTACTACATTTAAATGGCAGAGCTGCAGCAAGACTAGGTCTGGGACATGGTGCAAGCTGGGACTTAAGCGCAAGCCTACCCTGGGTGTCTCTTACTACATTTGAAAGGCAGAGCCGCAGCAGGGGTGGGTCAGAGGCAGCAGGGGGAGGCAGTGAGTAGTCAAGCAGTGACTAGACTACCCAATAAGCCTAAGTTTATTGAGTAGTTGCTTAATATATCAGATGTACAATATTTCTATGCCTAAGATTTTTCAGAAGTAACTGGTGAATTTAGGGTGCCCAATTTGACACACATTATGAGGACCTAATTTTCAGACAGTTATGAATACCCATCCTGTGAAAATGGGAACTCCTTGAGACGTTTTAAGTTGAACACCCAAAATCCCTTGTTACGTAGAAAATCTTCACCCAAGTTAACATTATTATAGAACCATTAAATTCTTGCTCACACTGCATGAACATATGGTCTTAATTGGCTATATTTATGTTAAAATAGTTTGAAAACATTGTTTGACACGTGTGATCTGATTGCTTACATCTTTGCTAGGTTAACTTTCTTTTTCTGCATCTTTCAGTTAGAAGAGCTAATTGGGCGTTAAGATGTTTGTGCTGGAGGCAGTTGCGGAAAGTTACCAAAGCTTTGTTTGGCTTGACAGCAAAAAATGATAACTCACTAGCATGCCAAGTACTGAACCAACTGTTTGATGTAGGTTAGACATAATACAAATCCAAAGGCTCTTCATTGTATTTCAGAGACTGAAATTCCCTAGTGCTCTCAAGCTCTGCAGTTTAAACATTTCAGTACAGCTGTGTTCAGAAATGAGATTTTTAGAAAACATTTGGTGATTTTCACCTTGTAATAATTACCATTCCATGTCTCAGGTGGCAATGAATGTATATGAGCTGTCGTCTGCTGCTGGATTGCCATGTGAGATCGATCCCGCCTTGGTTGTAGCACTGTCTTCCCAAAAATCAGGTAACAAGTCATATAACCTTTGAAAAGTATATTTAGCTGACTCTTTTTGATGGAAAAAAATCGAGAAATGTGTGCAGATGTTTGCAGTAGTAGGCAAAAAGCTGTAGATGGATTATTGGTTCTTTGTATTGCCTGAATTGAGCCATGTATATTGCCAGGTGAATTTTCCTTTGAAACTTAAGCATTTGCTATGTAGACTGGAGTTTTGTGAGCTAACTGCATAGGGAAATGGGTAATAGGTGAAATGTGGATGAACGTGGTGATGCCTTTGGAAAAAACTGGATTCATTTAAGGAGAAAAAAATAGTGGGTTGTGTATTGAGACTAGCAGAAGGCAAATAGTTATTTTCTGATGCACAGTAACGATTAAATCCTTTCCTCTCTATTTGTAATGTTTAAAATGTCAGCGTTTCAGAAGCAGTTAATAAATCAATAATGAGAAATATATGAAGGTTGTGTTTCATGCAAACATTAACATGATGGCAGACAAAACATTTAAAACTATGCTTGTGAAAGCATCCAAGGCACGTTGTAATGATTTCAGATTTTACATCATTCATTTTAAAGGGCCTTTGCAAATCCTTCCTGTTCTCTAGGTTTTTTTTTTTTTTTTTTTTTTAAAGGGGTGTAAAAATAAATGAAATTCTCAAAGCTGTTTGGCAGATATTCATTTTGTTCCCTGTGTTTCTTAGCAAACACTTGATTATTCAACACAAAAGAAAAAGAAGGTGAAACAGTGGTAATACAAATCCATGAATACATCTTATTTGCTTTGTTGTTACTCGTGACTGGATATTTACAGTGTGTGAATGGTTAGATATCCTATCTAACTTGACTTTTTTCCATTTTCTCAGATATGGGTTGCTTTGGGGTGGGAAGAAACTCATTTAAGTTCCTGAAGACATTTGTTACTATTATTTTAATATTAAATTATAAGTTGGGGTCAGGCTATCTGAATGGCTTTTTAAAATGTCATTAGTAAAGATTAATGTTTGTGTGATTCTGATATCGCTTCTCTTGGTGGTTCTAACAGCAGCTGACCAATGGGTCCAGCTGACCAATTCCCCCTCTTTCCCGTCTTCCATGCTGGGCTAAGACAAGCTCTCTACATGCTCTGGTTTCCCATAGCTCCTGATCCTTGTATGTAGACCCATGGGCAACCAGTGAAGCTCAGCGCACTGTCACTACCCAAGTGCTGGCTCCATAGCTTCTATTGGCTGGGAACCGCAACCAATGGGCGCTCCAGGGGCAGTGCGCAGAGCCTCCCTTGCTGCCCATGTGCCTCGGAGACCTGGTGGGTGCTTCCTGGGAGCCATGGTAAGCACCACTGGGCACCCAAACTCCATCTTGGAGCCTGTACCCCAAATGTCTGCCTCAGTATCAAGGCCCTCCCCCACCTCAAGCCCCTCATACCTGCAGATCTGTGGTTGTCTGCTTTATATCCATGACTACCCACATCCGTGAATACCATGTCTCATTTTTGCATATTTGGACACAGATTTTGTATCTAGAACCCTGCAAATTTGTGGGTGTCAAATCCACAGATCATTTATGAAGCTTTTGATGTGTATATCAATTTTGTATCCACGCAGAGCTCTAATCATCAGCTAGTCAATATATGCTATCCATTAATAGTGTGCTAGATACTGTAATTCACTTGACTTAACTTTCTAATCTCATGGCAAGGTGAAGCAATAATATTTTAGACAATGGGAAATAAATTATAACACTCAAAAAGGCACCTTTTCTTCAGTTGTCATTAGTAGCTTTGTTGCCTTCACTGAAGTTACTGTATTTACACCAGTATAACCCAAAAAACCAGAATTTGTCCTAAAAGCTTTTAATTATAGTGAATGCATAGTTTAGTAGCGACAGTAAGGAGGGATACTGCTTTTTCCTTATTCTTACAAAAAAAAAACCCCCAAAAACCATTTCCAGCCTATCATGAGTCTCTTGTTGCCAAGATTTTTTGCAGTAAATCTCTCCTTTCATGAAACCTGAGAGAGTGAATGCTGATGTTTGGCCTTATCACTTAGTCAGACAGCTTCTACGCTTGTCTCTTTGTCGTTGCAAATAAACTCTTGTCTTTTATTTTTAAATGGAAGGAGTTTCTTCTTATTTTCAGAAAATATTAGTCCAGAAGAAGAATATAAAATCGCCTGCCTCCTCATGGTCTTTGTGGCAGTCTCCTTGCCAACTTTGGCCAGTAATGTGATGTCTCAATATAGCCCTGCCATTGAAGGTACTATTTATCGAGTCTTGTTAAATTTTTGTATGAATATTTTCTTGCTGAAATATCCTGGTTATTAATCTTTCCAGTGGTTTTTCTCAATACTTGCTCTTTAGCGTGTTATCACATGTTTTATGGTGGATGGATCCAACAGTAAATTAGGTTGAATCTATATCCTGAGAGAAAAATTATTAGACATTTGTTTACCTTAATTTTGTTTTGAAGCAGTGATAAATTAAAACTTCACATTTTAAAGACATAGTTCTAGAATATGCTCTTTAGAAGTTACTCTCACATGAAGCAGATAACCTAAAACATCTTTTCTATTTTGATTAATCTGAGAATGTACATTGCTTAACATGTGTGGTGTTTTACTAACTTGTTAATTTACTACTGCTAGATTGGATTTGTGCCTATTCATATGACTTGATAGCTTAATATCTCAACTACTGAGAATAAAATTCTTTTTTTAAAATCTAGGAGTCATGAATTGTAAGTAGTATCTTCTAAGGAATCTTTTCTATTTTCCTTTCTTTTTTAAAAGAAAAAGATCTTTGTCTCAAGGAAATTCTTTGCTTGCAATCCACAAAAAATGTTTAGCGCGCTCTCAAACAAAACTAAGTTTAACAGCCGAGATTGTCAAAAGTGCTCCAACATACAAACAAATCATGTAATCACTTTTAATTAGTTCAGACTTTTGCCTTCAGTGCTATGTACTAAGGTCCAGATAGAAATATGTCGATTCTGTGTCTATTCACTTTGACCCACAGAGTTTTCTTTTTCTTGACCAAAATTTTCTCTGTATCTTGCACAGGACAAAGCTTAATTAACATAATATCTAGCTTCTCAACGATTTCCTTCCCAAGCTCTCTCAGAATTAGTAGAAGCAGCAGGGAAAGGTCAACATTTCAAAAGCTGTGAATACCAAATTAAAGAAAATATAGTATGCAATAATTTAGATCCACAGTATCCTGTTTCTCAAATCTTTGTGTGAATAACCGGCCACTTGTGTACTGCAACAATTAAGTGTGCAAACTAAGATTGCAGTTGCCATGCATTCTTGCATACACACACATTTTTAGGGAAATTATATTTCAAGTTTCTGTTTAATTCAATGGTGTTAACTTCCTTGATGGGGGACATATTTTCTTTAATCTTCCGTGTATAGGTATGCATTGCAACTTTTAGATAGTAAATGTAAAGATATCAGCTCTGTACACACATATAATCCCAGAAAAGATGTATGTAGTGAACAGAAATTAAGTGTAGCATATTGATGAATTTACATGTCTACATCTTACTTAGATGAATAGGGAGAACAATTCATAGCCCTCAGAGCTATTGCTTCAGACTATCTGTAGAGCCCTGCAAATTTCTGAATGTATTCAGATATCCAGATCCGTGGGTGTGGATATCTGCATTTCATTTATTCAGCTGCAGATGCAAATTTTGTATGTGAAGGGCTCTAGCTGCAGATTTGGAAAGCCATATGTGTATTGCATTCCATTTTGGGAAGTTTTTCCAAAACTAGTAAGGGCCAGAAACTTTTTCCCAGATTAAATGTTCAGGGCAGAGGCAGGAGAGGGGAGCAGAAAGAGACGAGACAGACTAAGATCCAGTGATGGGAAGTGAGTCATGTTGTCAGGATCAATGTTGTAGCTGGGATCTCTGTAAGAGGGGTGGCATGTGTAGTTTTTATCATTTGTTCAGGATGAACAGTACTTGTTACATTTTGACCAATAAATTACACTAGAAATTACCTTCTGTCACCAATTTCTCTTCCAATGGGAGCCTGACAGGAGCTCTGACAAGGAGTCAGGCAAAGCTGATGGCCTTCAGAGGAACCCCTTAAAGTGGGGAAACCCGGGAGTTGTGAATTTCCCAAACTCAACTGATCCTACTTAGAATGGAAAACTGCATGCATGAATACTGAGTATGTGTTGTTCCATCTCAAAAATGATATATTGGAATTGGAAAAGGTTCAGGAAAGGGCAGCAGAAATGATTAAGGGTATGGATTGGCTTCTGTATGAGGAGAGATTAATAAGGTTGGGACTTTTCAACTTGGAAAAGAGATGACTAAAGTGGGATATGATTGAGGTTTGTAAAATCATGACTGATGTAGAGAAAGTACATAAGGAAGTACTTTTTATTCCTCCTCCTTACACAAGTATTAGGGGCCACCAAATGAAATTAATAGGTAGCAAGTTTAAAACAAAACGAAGTATTTCTTCACACAATGCACAGTCCACTTATGGTACTCTTTGCTAGAGGATGTTGCAAAGGTCAAAACGATAACATCTAGTTCTTTTTTGAACACTAAGTTCATAGAGGACAGGTCCATCAGTGGCTGTTAGCCAGGATGGGCAGGGATGGTGTCCTAGGCTGTGTCTACTCTGGCATGAATTTCCGGAAATGCTTAAAATGGAATACTATTCCGTTTTCAGTTTTTCTGGAAAAGGAGCGTCTACATTGGCAGGCTGCTTTTCCGGAAAAGCCCTTTTTCCGGAAAAGCGTCTCTGGCCAATGTAGACGCGCTTTTCCAGAAAAGAGCCCCAATCGCCATTTTTGCGATCGGGGCTTTTTTCCGGAAAAGACTACTGGGCTGTCTACACTGGCCCTTTTCCGGAACAGTGTTCCGGAATAAGGACTTATGCCCGAGTGAGAGCAGAATAGTTTTTCCGGAATAGCGGCTGATTTTGTACAGTAGAGCATCATTGCTTTTCCGGAAATTCAAGGGCCAGTGTAGACAGCTCGCAGCTTATTCCAGAAAAGCGGCTGATTTTCCGGAATAAGTGACCCAGTGTAGACACAGCCCTAGTGTCTGTTTGTCAGAAGCTGGGACTGGGTAACAGAGGAGGAATCACTTGATAATTATCTGTTCAGTCCATTCCTTCTGGGGCTCAAGGTCTTGGCCACTGTCTGAAGACAGCACACTGGGCTGTCTGTCCCAGGATGACCATTCTTATGTGCTGTGCTGTGCTGTGCTGTGCTGTATTAGTGTTGTTAAGCACTGGCAAATCCTGGAGACAGTAATAAAAGAAGTTATGGACTTGAACTAGCTTCAGTTCCCAAGGCAAGCAAAAGAAGGAAAAATGTTATTTCAAAAACATAGACTTCAAGATATTCCAGCCATATCGGAGTGTTTCCCATTAGTTTATCCAAACCCCAAGTCTCCTTCTCTATCTCCTAGCAGAGAGCCAGACTTCGATCTTTGCTCCTACTGACAGAAGACTGAGATCTTAATAACTACCCAAATCTCAAACTAATTGCCAGAGATTAGTTTTTCCTTAGGTTAGACCAGTCACCTGCTGACAGATGAACCAGAGAACATTCATGCTAGTTTCACAGTCAAATTTTCCTCCCTAGTTTGTCTTTACCACACTGCCTATTCACTTATTTCTCTTCAAAGAAGAGGGAATCCCTCTTGAGCTTGACATGCAAACTGTCAATTCTTCTTTGAGTGCTTGATTATGTCCATTCCACTTAGGTGTGCGCGCACGCCGCGTGCATGAGTTCTGGAAGCTTTTTACCCTTAGCAGTACCTGTTGGGCCAGCCGGAGAGCAACCTGGAATGGTGCCGGTATAACCATGCATATATTCCACTGCTGGCCCCTCACCCCCTCAGTTTCTTCTTACTGCCCGTGACAGTTGTTGGAACGTTTTGCTTGCTATTGCAAGTGTGCCCTTAGCATTCTTATATCTTGTAAATAGTTCTTCATTGTTGTAGTTGTTGAGTTTCTGTTGCCAGAATAGTTGTTAGATAATTCGCCAGTTACCCTCCTTTTCTTCCCCCCGCCCCCGCAGGGGGTATGCCAGGGCCTCAGGGCTTCAAACCTTCCTGGTGCCATTCAAAGCCTATGCCCTGTGGTGACCCGCATAAGGAGTGCCTAAAGTGCCTGGAGGAAGGCCATCTGATGGATTCCTGCAAAATTTGTAAGTCCTTTAAGCTGAGGACTAAGCATGACTTGAGACTCAAGCTACTCCTGATGGAGTCGGCACTCCAACCCCCTGCACCAGAATTGGCACCTTCGGTGAGGACTGATACTGAGGCACTGATCCCAGTCCCTGGCACCTTCGCAAGAAGGTGCGAAGAGGGAGATCACCCTCGAGATGGGACCACGGGGCACGTCTGCAAGGGGGATGCCCAGAGGCTTCGTCTTCGGAACACCATCGACACAGGCGGAGCCCCACATGGGCAAGTAGCCCAGAGACCCAGGACCTATCCATGAAGACGGTCCTGCAGCCGTTAATCCTGGATACATTTCTGGCAGCCCAGGAGCTGATAGAACTCACGTCTTCACTGGGGCCAGCACCGCATGATATGGAAGTGCACTTGGGCCAAGATCTCCAGGGAATTAGGGCAACTCCAGCACCACCTTCGGTGCCACCTCCCCAGTCACCAGAATGTGGACTAGGTCCGGCACCGATTGCAATAATGGCACTGACTCCACCAGTGCAGGATCTGATGTGGGTCAGGACAGCCGCCCAACTGATGCCACCAGTGCCACATCCCCCGGCACCGGTGTCCTCGTCTATGCCCCTGTCGGCATCGCCACCACCGCACCAGGGGAAACTGTTGACTATGGCACAGCACAGCCAGCGCCATGGGCCAGAGTAATCTGTGGCACCGCCATGATCCACATCAGAATGCTCCTCTGAATCAGATTCAGAATTCTGTTGTGTAGGGCCTCATTGCGTCACTCTGCCAGCTCACAGAGCTCAAGGTCCTCGCACAGGTCGAGGTCCCAGCACAGATCCCAGTTTTGAAACCAGTCCCGCTCGTGGCACCGTTCGAGGAAGGCCAGTCCAACTACGGTGCAGTCATGGCGCCCTTTTGGACCCCCTGGGCAAACCACTAAACCCAGGGCCAGGGCCCTTCAAGGTCAGAATCGGTGGTGGCCTCGTCCTACTCAGGCCATTGGGCTACCCTCTGAGACCCCACTTATGAGAGGCTCTGGGTCAGAGAGCAGAGCCAGCCCCCCGGAATTGGGTGGGGACTTGGCTCGTCCA